ACTTCTAGAATGTCGATCATTTGTCGATCAACACTGTATTTAGAAATTCTATATTTGGTAAAATCCCTGACTGTAATGATGAAAACAAAAATTACATTGATATTTTTCTTCCCTTGCGTTGATATTTTTTTCCTGATATTTTTTTTCCTTGCGTTGATAATTTTTTTTTCCTTTACGTTAATATTGCAATGTCAAGAGGTAAGTTATAACACTTTTCTATAAAGTGTTTGCATTTGAAGAAGTTGTGTTATCACCCTTCCTTCGTGGAAGTGTTAGAATTGTTATAATTTTTATTATTTTTATATATAGTGTGCTGTGGAAAGCCGGAACTTTCTGTAATGGTTGGAGGAGACATAACGGGTTTCGACTATAAAGAGATTAAAATTGCATAATTATCCTAGACCCCATGTATAAATAAATTTTTTTAAGTACTTATCAGTGAATGAACAGTTACAACGAAACTTAATTTCGTTCACGTGAACAAGAAGGACGATGGATAAATTATAAACGATTATTATTTACTCATTATTGAATTACTAACAAATGAATTTTTCAGCTTCGGCTTTGTTCACTTTGAAACACGAAAACAGGCGGTAGAATTCTTCCATCACACGAAAGAAAAACATTATTATTTTGATGACGAAAAGAGGACCAATGAAGTTCCGCGCAGCAACTTACTTTAATACCAGCCGAAAAGTCGAATACAAATTGGTAACATTTATTATTTATTATTATAAATGAAATTAATCTGGCGGTTCTAATAATATAATAAAAAATTATTTTGTGTATTTAGGATGATAATAAGACTAACGTATAGTTGCCTGGCAAAACTCATTTTAGCAAATGGCAAAAGTCGAAACCCTATATTTCGACGGATTTGTTAATAAGTATTTAATATTGTTTTGACTTTTGACGGGATTTTATTATGGTTTCGAGTTTCGACGGATTTGCCATGAAGGTTTTATTACAGTTTGCCAATGACCCCGTCGAAACCCGAGAGTTTTGCCAGGCAACTAAAGACTAACGAGATCAGCAATGGGAGTAATGAGAAGATTAACGAGAACGAGATCAGCAATAAGAGTAAGAACACAAACTCTAGAAAACGTAAAGTCAGTATGTATCTATTAACTAGTGTCTGACTTTGTCTTGTTCAATAATAAAGTCTATTTTTATACTTTATTATAAAGCCACGCATATATTAAAATTTTGCACACACCCGGAAGAACAATAATAAGCTTTTTACCCATCGGACCACTTGAAGTGGAAGTAGAACTTCCAAGCGAGTGAGTTATAAAGATATAGTTTTGTTGTTTTACAATTGCTTGAAATATATCTTTTTAATATAAAATCTTTCCTTACAAACCAATCCAAGAACAAAAACATATTATTTTCTTTTTTAAATTTACTTGTATCAGTTTTTCTATGGCTTTGACATAATGAATAGAATTTTTTTAACTAATAAAAAATATCCGTTGGCCCCAAAATTTTTCCGGAAAAAAATCCGGCTATTTTTTCTTAGATTTCTTTTTTCAAAATGTGGTCATGTGATATATAATGAGGATTTTATCGTGTCTTTATATATCGATATTTTTTTTTATATATTTAATTACTGTGATATATTTAACATTCTTTACGCGTTAAATTAATTACTTTGTGATATTAATTGAACAAATTATTTAAAAATTCAATATTATTTGTATAATGATATTCCATTTGATCTTCTGAATATCGCCAATTATCTAGTGATTTTTTATCCATGAATCTAGAAGCAATATCTCTCAATTCAACAAATTTATACCATTCATTTTTTATTTCCAATTTCATATCCGAAATGTTGTTTCCATCTTTCTGATTGACATCCATTGTCTCAGGATCATCTGGTTGCTGATGATAATAATGATCCTTTGAGCCAAAAATTTCTGACAGCTTTCTTTCCAATATTTTATCACCTTCAGGAAAAGGATTTTTTAATTCAGGAAATAATTGAGAAGAATTAGGAGGACCTTCCATGTCAAGAGTAATTACAGCTCTTAAGCCAATCCAAGGTCCATATTCTTCGTGAATATTTAAAAAACAAACTCTGTTATAATAGGCAAGTGATGCATTCTCCGCCATGACTTGAAATGCGACAAATCTTTTTTCATTTAAATCAAATGGATATCTAACATCATATTTTAAATTATTTACTTGAATTATTTCTTCAATAATTGACTCCATGCTTACTCTAGTATAATAATCTAACGGATTTTGTTGTTTATATTCTTCATTATCACTACCTTCGGAATAACTTGTTGAACTCGCACAGTGATTACTTGAAGTTGTATAGCGTGGATGACTATATCGAGTGAAGATTTCGGTGTAATAATATTTTAAAAACTTTGGCCAAAGATATTTAGTGTTTCCTACAAGAATTGATAAAGTCGATTTTGTTTGTGAGAAGGTTGGTAAGGGTTCATATTTACAGTTTGCCGGCAAATTTTCATTATATCTAGAATATGAAAATAAAAAAAAAATATTTAGAAATAAAAACTCTTTAAATATTAGATAATTTATTTAGTAACCTTTGTGTTGGGAAGGGTTTTACTAAATCAAATCCTAATGAATTTAATTTCTTTGAAATTAATTTTGTAATTTCTTCCATGTTTTTAGAAATCCTAAAAAAAAAAAAAAAAAAAAAAAAAAAAAAAAAAAAAAAAAAAACTGAAAAAAAAATAATTAAAAAAAAAAAAATCGCGTTAATCACTTTTTTTTTAAAAAAAACCTCTAATTTAAACC